GGTGCGGCTCTGTAGTGGAGCCCCTGCCCAGAGTCCCCCAGTGAGGGTGCGGCTCTGTAGTGGAGCCCACCTAGCATGTTAAGTGTCCTGGGTTCCACACCCAGCACTGCAAGAGAAAAAAGGCATCTGCAATGTTCCTAAGGTTAAGGGTATGTCCGGTCTGTGACTCAGCAGTGCAATTCCTGGGAACTGAAGGCAGCTTTTGCCAAGGGACTTGTAGAGACTAGAACATCAGCACTAAATCCTTGACCATTGTGAAAACCGATGATAACCACCCAGGGAGGATGAGGAAGTAAACCGTGGGGCCCACATTAGGGGCTGGCATGCTGCAGTGAGAGAGATCTGACCTAGCCCTCGATTCTGAGAGGTTTTTATGGTGCCCATTGGCTCCACCCAGCCGTGGGTGTGCGCCTGGGATTGCTGCACTGGGAGGTGAAGGCAGGAGGCGTAGGTCAGGCGTACAAGGTCCTCCTCAGCAATGTAACAAGTCCAAAGTCAGCCTGTGCTTGACACCCTGGGAGAAGTGAGGGGTGGACCTTAGCCAGGCATGTAAGCACACGCCCAGGAGGCTGTGACAAGGCAACCTCCGAGCGTTCCAGGCCCACTGGGGCAGAGGGCACAGCACTGTAAAACTCGAATCTTGGGAGCCATAAGGGAAGCTCTTGAACTGCCAGCCACACTTCTGCTTCTCCATTTGTGCCAACGCCTTTCACGCCACAAGAGGGCAGCTGTGTCCCAGAACACAGGCCAGGTGGCCTGTGAAGATTAGATTTACTGTCCAGTCTTCCGCAGAGGAAGTGGCCATCCCTGACTATAGAACCACGAGAAAGAATTACACCTCGGAAGGCAGAGGCAGGGGACCTCTGTGAGTGGGGCCAGCCTCATCTAAATGCTGAGTCCCGGGCTAACCAGGGCAGTATAGAGAGACCCTGTCTCAAAGCAATGACAAAAATCACAGCTGCCAACATCAGCGAGAAGGAATGAGAACAGACTCAGGCACACAAGCTCGGTATGTTTCTTGTCTTTGATTTCTCTGAAAGCAAGGATTCACTCTGTAGCCCAGGCTGGCCACAAGATCCAGAGATCCCTGCATCTTGAGAGCTAGGATTAAAGCACTGCCTCACCAAGCTGAACATCAAGGGGAACCATCTCCACCTGTGTAAGTCAGGATGGTCCCCCAGAAGAGGGATCAGAGCAGAAAGTCCTCTGCTCTGATGAGGGCATTCCCATGTAGAGATAAGGAAGAAGGAACCCACGCGCAAACCAGTAAGAGAGTGTGTGCACACTTCTCACAACTTTGTTATTTTAGAGCCTCTGGTCTCGCTCCTAAAGTTTTATCACATCTCATTAGCACACCACAGTCCAGCTGTGAAGGTCAGAGTATGCATGTACAGCTCAGGTGGCCTCGAGTTCATTATTAACCAAGGATGACGCAGAGATCCTGGTTCTCCTCCTCTGCCTTCCAAGTGCAGGGCTACAGGCTTGAGCCACCCCTCCCAGCTGGAATCCAACTTATTTGTTGATTTATTTATCCAAGGGTTTCTCTGTGTGGCCCTTGCTGCCCTGGAATTTACTCTGTAGACCAGCTGGCCTCGAACTCAGAGATCTGATGCCCCTCACTCTCCAGTGCCAGGATTAAAAGTGTGCACCACCTTCTAAAGGGGCAGAAAACATAAGAGTCAGGAAAAACAGACCCATAAGGTGTGTAAAGAATTTACAGGAAGCTACATGCACACTGACAAACACTGATACCAGCAGCTGTCGACACAACTGTTGAACACCTGGAACCTTCACAGTGCCAGCAACACCGCAACCTCATCCACAAAAAAGTCTGTGCAAGATCATTCACAGCAGCTCTATCCAAAACAGCCCCACGGCGGAGGCCACTCCAATGCCTCTCCATGGCTGAACCTTGACGACTGAGGAGAAAGAAGCCAGCCTGAAAGGCCCCAAGTACGCACACACTTCTGTGAGATGCACAGACGGGAAGACCCAGACAGACAGCAAGGACGATACAGGAGAATAAAGTGACTCAAAGTCCGAGCATAGCGGCCTGTAGACCTGCAATCCAGGCTGGAGCATCAGAAGTTCAGGGGCCACGTGGCACAGGCCGTGAGTTCAAGGTCAACTTGGAAATATTACTAAACCTCTCAAAATAAAAAGGGCTGGGGTGTGGCTCAATGGTAGAGCCCCTGCCTGGAATGCCCCAGTGAGGGGCTGGGGTGTGGCTCAGTGGAGAGCCCCTGCCTAGAATCCCCCAGTGAGGGGCTGGGGTGTGGCTCAGTGGTAGAGCCCCTGCCTAGAGTCCCCCAGTGAGGGGCTGGGGTGTGGCTCAGTGGTAGAGCCCCTGCCTAGAGTCCCCAGTGAGGGACTCAGTGGTAGAGCCCCTGCCTAGAGTCCCCCAGTAAGGGGATGGGTGTGGCTCAGTGGTAGAGCCCCTGCCTAGAGTCCCCCAGTGAGGGGCTGGGGTGTGGCTCAGTGGTGGAGCCCCTGCCTAGAATCCCCCAGTGAGGGGCTGGGGTGTGCTCAGTGGCGGAGCCCCTGCCTAGAATCCCCCAGTGAGGGGCTGGGGTGTGCTCAGTGGCGGAGCCCCTGCCTAGAGTCCCCCAGTGAGGGGCTGGGGTATGCTCAGTGGCGGAGCCCCTGCCTAGAGTGTCCCAGTGAGGGGCTGGGGTGTGGCTCAGTGGTAGAGCCCCTGCCTAGGATCCCCCAGTGAGGGGCTGGGGTGTGGCTCAGGGGTGGAGCCCCTGCCTAGAATCCCCCAGTGAGGGGCTGGGGTGTGGCTCAGTGGAGAGCCCCTGCCTAGACTCCCCCAGTGAGGGGCTGGGGTGTGGCTCAGTGGTAGAGCCCCTGCCTGGAATCTCCCAGTGAGGGGCTGGGGTGTGGCTCAGTGGTCACCTGCCTAGAACACAGTGAAGGGCTGGGGTGTGGCTCAGCAGTAGAGCCCCTGCCTAGAATCCCCCAGTGAGGGGCTGGGGTGTGGCTCAGTGGTAGAACCTCTGCCTAGAGTCCCCCAGTGAGGGGGTGTGGCTCAGTGGTAGAGCCCCTGTGTGGGACAGGCATAGAGTTCTTTCCGGCATGAATCAGGCCCCAGGTTTTATTCCCAGTAGTGGCATAGTGGCAGAAGTGTTGCAAACTACCAGCTGAAGGGATGATGCAGGAGAATGATGAATCAAGGCCAGTTTGGGCTACAGAGCCACATAAACAAAGAATGAAGAATGAAAGAGGTTTGCCTAAGGCTGGGAGGGAAGGAGGGAGGTGGAAATAGCCTGAAATGGCTTGTAAGGATGGGCACATCATTCTACAAATATCCTACAGCTCGGTGACTCACAGGCTGCCAGTACGTGGATTAGATCAATAAAATGGAGTAAAGGAAAGACAAACACGAAGCTGAGCACAGCTGAGCCCTTTACAGCGGTGCACTAAAGGTGTCAGCCTCTGTGGGCAGAGAAGGGCCTTTCAGTGCTGTTTTCCTGTGCTCTGAGAGAGGGCCTCCCATGGACCAGCAGGCATGAACCCTGTGTCAGCCCGAAGGCTGAGATTAAGTGCGTGCAACCATGCTAGCATTTGAATTTTTTAATTTTTTGGACTCACACGTGATAAGTGACTGAGGGTGACCTTGAACTCCTGGGATGGGTGTGTGCCTTACAGCCATTTTAAGGCTCCTCCTTGTTGTGTTTAATTTTTTTTTTTTATTCTCCCTGTATTCCTGGCTGTTCTGGAACTCTCTGTGTAGACTGGGCTGGCCTTGAACTCACAGAGCTCCACCACCTCAGTATCTGCCTCCTGAGTGCTGGGGTCAAGAGCGAGTGCCACTCCCACTAGCTTATTTTGAAGACGCTGAAGTCGTATGTATGTGTGTCCTAGCAGAGGTCAAACAGTCAGCCGGGGGCCACCCGCCCTAGGTGCCTGTCACCTGTCCCTGGAGAACAGCCAGCCACTTTTCAGGCTGTGGTCTCGACCCCCGGGGTTGAAGGGGCCTTCCACAGGGGTCGCTACGGCCATCGGAACACAGACGTTTGCGCTGTGGTCGTAACAGCAGCAGCAGCGCGCTCGGAGCCCTGCCAAAGGGCCACGGCCCTAAGGCTGCGCACACGAGGCCTTGCACCCTCCTCTCTGAACCCGGCAACACTCGTCCCCCTCACCAGCAGCGCTGACACAAGCGTCCTGCCTTTCATGGCTTCCCAGCACAGGCCTGACACCACAGCCTGTGGCGGCAGCTAAGCCCTCTTAGCACAGCACCCCGAATCAGGACCGGCAAGCCAGAGGCCACCCCCCGCCCCCGTTTCCGTCCCCAGCAGCAAACTACATCTTTGGCAATTCTGATCACCTGCTTCCTCCCTCCGGGCACAGCCCTCACCCCCGCCCCACCCTGCCCATAGCCCAGGGTGGCAAGGCAGAGAGGGCAAAGGAGGAACCTTCAGCCCTGGGTGAGGCCTCGAGGCTAACACTTCAGGAGGAACCCACAGAGGCGTGTGGCCCTGAGTTCACACCACTGTGCGTGAGTGCCGCCTCAAGTGGTAGCTGCAGAGACCTCACCGTCACAGGATGCCCCTTCCTTACCAAAGGCTGGGTGCCTCCCTCAGCCCTAGGCCCAGAAGCACCAAACAAGGTTTATGGAAATGCCAGGCAAACGCCTGCCCAAGGCCTCGGGAAACTTCATGGCTGTTGGCTTCAGGGCCACCCCTGCCTGCGGCCTCCTGCCCCAGCGCCCATCCTGGGGTTCTGGTACTCTCCACAGAGAACAGAGGCAGGAGTCTGGGCCTGCACCCGCTGACCCTCCCTCCTCGGCCCAGCATCGGCTTCCCCAGGCCCACACCCTCCCCTCTGAGACCAGCTCCCGACTCACAAATCGCCCGAAGCGGATGGTGTCACCCTCCTCGACGTGCACATCAGCCTGGGCCCCGCTCAGGCGGGAGATGACGGACCGGCAGCCGGGGAGGAGGGACTTGAGGACCCCTGACCCGGTGATGTGGTCAGCGTGGCAGTGCGTGTTCACTAGGAAGAAGCATGCACAGAGAACTGAGTGCTCTCAGCCTGCTGCATCCGGACCTCAGAGCCAAGGAGGCAGGCCCAGCCCTCCCTCAGGCCCCGGGTCCAGGCCAGCCTCCTCCCTCAGACCCGGGGTCAGGCCAGCCCTCCCTCAGGCCCCGGATCCAGGCCAGCCTCCTCCCTCAGACCCGGGGTCAGGCCAGCCCTCCCTCAGGCCCCGGATCCAGGCCAGCCTCCTCCCTCAGGCCCGGGGTCCAGGCCAGCCTCCTCCCTCAGGCCCGGGGTCAGGACAGCCTCCTCCCTCACACTCAGGGGTCCAGGCCAGCCTCCTCCCTCTCAGACCCAGGGGTGCAGACTCTAATCCTCATTCAGACCGCGGAGCCTAGCCCCCAGGCCTCCTGTCTCCCCCAGCCTCGGGCCGTGTCCTGGCGCACTGTCCGGGCCCGGCCCTCTCACGCCGAGCGTGTCCCCCACTGACCCGCGTAGAGCAGCTTCAGCCCCAGCTCCTTCACCAGCTGGGCGTCCCGCGGCGCCGTCTCCAGCACGGGGTCGATGAGGACGGCCTCCCGCGCCTCCCAGTCGCCCAGCAGGTAGGTGTAGGTGCAGCTCCGGGCTTCGAACATCTGCGAGGTGCGGCAGCGCAGAGGGCTCGGGACCCAAGAGCCCAGCCCGCCTCGCCCGGGGTCGCCCAGCTCCCTCCGCAAGGAATCCCGTCCAGGAGCCCTCCCGCCGCACCTGCCGCAGGAGGACCGGCGCTCCGGGTGCGCTTCGCTGGCTCAGCCGCCGCCCGGCCAGCCTGAGGGCCGCGCTGGACATCGCGCCGCTCTCTGCGCCCAGCAGCCGCGCGGCCGCAGCCCGATGCTCCCGGGCTGACCCGGGAGGGCGGGGCGGGGCGGGGCGAGGCCGGGCGGGGCGGGGCTGACCCGAGAGGGCGGGGCGAGGCCTGGCGGGGCGGGGCTGACCCGGGAGGGCGGGGCGAGGCCTGGCGGGGCGGGGCTGACCCGGGAGGGCGGGGCGAGGCCGGGCGGGGCGGGGCGGGGCGGGGCCTGCCTTAAAGGAGCCGCGACGGCCCGGCCTCTGTGGCAACCCGCAGAGACGCATAAAGCCGCTACACGCCCAGACACCGGCTTCTTCCAGGAAAACTCGTGGAAATGGAAACTCAAGGTCACCAGCGTTTTGATTACAACTGTCTTCTGTTCAGTTGTTTGATTTTTTTTTTTTTTTTTTTATGCAGGTTCTCACCGCAAAGCCCTGGCTGTCCTGGCGATGGCAGCCCAGGCCGGCCTGCATCTCAGACATCCCCCCGCCCGGCCTCCGGCGTGCTGGGATCGGAGGCGTGTGTGACCCTCGCCCGGCTGACTCGGGGTCTGATCACTCAGCCCGGGCTGGACACGGCGCCTGGGGCTGGAACCACCGGAGGCTGTGCTGAGAATGACCTGGAACTGTGCGCGGGGACCTGGCAGGGCAGGAGGGTGCAGTCACTGGCTTGCTCGCGGGGCTCCCCAGCCTGCCTTCTTACTGACCCAGCGCGCCCTGGGCCTCCCCAGCAATCATTAACCGAGAAGGTGCCTACCGCCCACCTTCTGGACTTTCCTCCTCCAGCTCCCTTCCTCTTCGCTGACCATAGACTGTGTGAGGCTGGCACAGAACCGGCCTGCACACCTACCCACCTGTCTCAAAGGCAGAGCAACTCGGAGCTCTTGGACCCCATTTTCCTAGGGCACAGGCTGTCAAACAGTCGCTCCTGGAACCCATCCATAGCGGGAACACTCCTAGGTAGCAGAAGAACCCTGGTTTCCTTCCCCACCGAAGCTCCGTCCCGGCGGCCCGTCCTGGTGCTCTCCACAGAGAAGGAACCATGGTGCCTAGCCGCGGCGCTGGGTTTCTGAGACAGTCCCAGGGCGCCTCACAAGACCTGCTCCTAGAAGGCATGGCCCCCCGAAGCCTGGCCGAGGAGGGGAAGGTCTTTACTGCAGAACAGCACAGCCGCAGGCCAGAGAGAGGAAGCTGCAGATGGAACATGGGGGAGTCAGCAGGAGAGAAGGACAAGGAGCGCGGGCCAAGGAGGGCGAGAGCGGGAGGTGGCCAAATGAGCAGCTGGGGGAGGGAGGATCTGAGCTGGGGGGTTAGGGTGCTGAGCACTGGGAGTCTGGAGGCCAGACGTGTCCACGCCCGGGGCACCACAGTCAAGACAACCCTTTGTTTCTTTTGAACTGACACTGTTAACCCCTTTATGCAACCCACTTTGCTTTGATCCTCAACTGTTTCAGAAAATGAGAGTTACATAAAGGCTACACTTTCCAAGACCTGTGTCTGCTTGTCTGTCTGGGCGGGCCAGAGATTCCCTGTGGCCTTTTCTCCCAGGCTTCAGTCAATAAAAGGCAAGGGTGGACCTTCGAGGTGGGCGGCGGGAGCTCAGTCCTGAGACCCCAACAGTGGGAGGAGAAAACCATTTCGCCACCGTCTTCAGACGACCACATTTTTGGCGTGGCACAGATGTGCTCACCGGCACATGCACGCACACCAATGTGGCCATCACTGTCGATCGGCAGCCGTGGGGCCGTTCGGAGACACCACAGCTTAGAAACTTGACTGGGACGTGAAGATGGAAGCCAGAAGGCTACAGAGGGACCGGTGAAAGAACACAGGGAGGCCACGGGAGCCTAGCGACCTCTGGAGCCTGGCGTTTTGTTACCTTTTGTTACTGTTGTTTGTCCGTTGCTTTCTGACACAGGGTTTCTCTGTGTGGCCCTGGCTGTCCTGGACTCTCTCTGTGGACCAGGCTGGCCTTGAACTCAGAGCCCCGCCTGCTTCTGCCTCCCAAGTGCTGGGGTTTTAGACATGGGCACCATGCCCAGCTTTGTCCCATTATGAGGCCAGCCTGGGTGGCAGAGTGCTATAAAATGTAGCAAACTTGATAGAGAAGATCCTGAGAGAGAGGAGGCAGAGAGGAAAGAAACAAGGCATGAGGAAGGGGAGAAGAGATGGCTCAAGAGAAAGACGAGAATGTTGCTCATCCTCCATGGACTCAGGAAGGCTTTCCTGGCCTGCACCTGAAGCTAGGACCCGAAGGAGAGCAGCCAGGCACACTGCACAAACAGTGGACAGTAGGGGTACTAGAAGAGGCCAGGAAACAAGGAACCTTAGGCATAGCTAAAGAGCCAACCATTCCTGTGGGGCCCTTCCCTCCTGTTTTAGCGACTTTTGAGCCCTGTCCCCACAGGGAATCCCTGGCCTTCCACACTGTACATAAATGTTCTGCTAAACTCTATCTGATCCACGGCCAGCCCATCACTGGGGGATTCTAGGCAGGGGCTCTACCACTGAGCCACACCCTACCCCTCACTGGGGGAGTCTAGGCAGGGGCTCTACACTGAGCCACACCCCAGCCCCTCACTGGGGGACTCTAGGCAGGGGCTCCACTACTGAGCCACACCCCAGCCCCTCACTGGGGGAGTCCAGGCAGGGGCTCTACCCCTGAGCCACACCCCAGCCCCTCACTGGGGGAGTCTAGGCAGGGGCTCTACCACTGAGCCACACCCCAGCCCCTCACTGGGGGAGTCCAGGCAGGGGCTCTACCACTGAGCCACACCCTACCCCTCACTGGGGGACTCTAGGCAGGGGCTCTACCCCTGAGCCACACCCCAGCCCCTCACTGGGGGACTCTAGGCAGGGGCTCTACCACTGAGCCACACTCCAGCTGGGGGAGTCTAGGCAGGGGCTCAACCACTGGAAACAGAGTGGGTAAGCGGTCCATCTCAACAAGTGAACTTTCTAGAAGACAGGTACACATTGTACTGAGGTGCTTTTGCGCTGACTTGACAAGGGATTACTGGAATAAACAGGCAACTAGAGTCTACTGGATCCCATGTGTAGTGTGTTGGTCTATTAATCTTTTCAGTCCTCACCCCCACTCAGGACCTGCCCACTCTTCCGCTGGGCTTTGGCCTCCTTCCCTTAGCTCAGCTGCTGCTCTCAGGACAGTCTGGCCTCATTCGGCTTGATTTAATGCACAATGAAAACAAATCTTGGGCCTTGGAGCTGCCTCAGGAGGCGCGGCTTGCTGCCAAGTCTGATAGCTGAGTTCAGCGGCCAGGATCCACTAATGGGAAGAAGGGTCAAACCCAAAGTGGCCTCTGACCCCACACGTGGACTCCACAGAGGAACATCAAACACACACATACGCGCAACAAATGTAATTTGTTTTCGTTTTTCCCGACAGGGTTTCTCCGTGTAGCCTTGGGTGTCCCGGAACTTACTCTGTAGACCAGGCTGGCCTTGAACTGAGAGATCCACCTCCCTCTGCCTCCCGAGTGCTGGGATTGAAGGCGTGCGCCACTGTGCCCAGAATGTAATTTAAATATATATATATACACGTAGGGGCTGGAGAGCATTAGCTGGAGCCCCTCTTGGCAGTGCACACCTTTGATTTAAGCACTGGGGAAGGAGAGGCAGGTGGCTCTCTGAGTTCGAGGCCAGCCTGGTGTACAGAGGACAGCCAGGTCTACATAGTGAGACCCTGTCTCTAAAATAAATAAATAAAAATAAAAGCAACACTGATTTGTAAAAACTTTTCATTGGTTGGTTAACACCCAGGAAGCTCCATTCTGTGCGTGGGGACACTGAGCCCAGAAATGTGAAATGACCTACTCATGGTCGTGAAAGAACCAGACTAACTTTGTAGCCTGTGTGTCTTTTAATATTTGCAAGTTTTAGGCCCATGTTAATTAAAGCCTCTTAGTGCTTCTCCAGAGAGCCGAGGAATGTAAAAGTTCTTGACATCAGCCATCTGTGAGGGCAGAGATAAGGAAGAGAACAAGCAGAGATCTCTACTAAATGGAGAAAAAAAATCACGGGCTGGCGCCGGTGAGATGGGCTTTGTTTGGAAACTGGGCCAAATGGCCCCAATCCTTCTCCTGACCTTTGATCCAAAGCCTGTAACCCCCACTCCTCAGAACAGACATGGGATGAGTTAATCACCCTCCCACATTTAACTGTGGATGGCAGGAAATTCCAAACTGACTTGACGACAGGGCTGACCAGACCTAAGGGTGACCAGAACTGACCAATTATTTTAAAAGTTAAACACCTCATCCAATCCTAAATCGCCAAGAAGGCAACCCCAGGAGATTCCTGCCTTGTGTCTTTTAAAAACCTAAGGTCTTTGTCTCCCGGGGCCACTCCTAGCTGACCAGCAGGGGTACCCCATTGCGCAATGGTCAAGAGGAACCTCTCGCATTTTTGCAACGATGGATGATTAATTTCCTGAGTTCTCTTCATACCTTCTTAAATTTAGGCTCTTGCTGGGCCTAACCGTCGCACAACTAGAAAGCGGCAGAATCTAGCGCCAGCCAGAAACTGCAGCTCTCAGGGCTGCCAGGTCTTCAGGCAGGAGACCCCGGGCCTGGGGACTCTCACAGGCGTGTCGGCGTGGTGCCAGCATAGGGCAGCACTGCCAGGGAGGCCAGCCACTGTCAGCCTTGGCCTGACACTCTGCCTCCCAGGGAGGGGAGGGAGGGTGCGGCCTGAGGCTGCTCCACCTGGTGGGGAGGGGTGAAGGTGGGTGGGGAGCAAGCGGCTGGTGTCCCGGTTCCGGGCGGGCTCCGGGGGGGGGGGCGAGGTGTGGCCCGTGTTTGGGGTTCAGTGCCAGGCCCGGGAGACCGGCAGTTAGAGCCCCACAGGGTGGAAATGAGACCTGAGCGTTCACACTGACCCACCCGAGTCCAGTGTAAACCAATGTATGACGGGACAGGGCGGTGTGGGGCCGTCTCAGCCCTGGGAGGTGAAGGCGTGAGAGGAGGGGCACCAGTTCAAGGCCATCCTCGGCTCAGTTAGGAGTTCAGGACGAGCCTGGGCCACTTAGGAAGGGAAGGAAGGATGAACGCAGGAGCGTGTTCGGCCACACTGGGGTGCTGTGGCCGAAGCCCCACTCCTGCTCCCGCCCATGGGGGAGGGCATGGTGGGCTGAGCCAGGCCCGGAGGGCTCCGGAGCCCCGACTTCCCGACATGTGCCGGGCTGAATGCTGCCCACCCTCACCAAACCCCGTTCGCAGCCCCCCAGCCCGGGAAGGGCAGGCAAGGATAGCGGGTGTGGCGGGGGGGCTGTGTCCTTAGCCCAGGCTGGCCTGGGACTTGCCCTCCGGGGCAGCCAGCAGTGCGGGGCCCTCATTTCTGCAGCCAGGGCTGTCTGTCCCGGACCTGATTTACAAGGTCAGGTTCGCCGCTCATGGACTGGCAGCTGGCACCGGTCTGGCAGGGGTGCACACCTTGGTCCTGCAGTTGTGGTGACACTGGCCGGGCGCGTTCCCCTGCGCACACACATTTGTATGGCAGAGGTCAAAGCCTGCTGGCAGTTTTGGTTGGTGGGGCACACGGGGCTTAGCTCACGCCTCGGCCAGAGGACACTTCGAGCACACGCCCTTCTGCTGCCGTGATCCAACCTGCACACTCAGGCCTGGACACTGGCGTCGGCAGTGGTCAGCACAGCGCCCTGATGTGGCCGCACTGGGCACAGCCTGCCACATGCCCACCACCAGGGGCCGGTGAACAGAGCAGAAGGTGTGGGGAAGAGGCCAGCACTGACACAGGAGACAAGGAGACACTGGAGGGGAGAGGAGCAGCCCTGGCTGTCCTGGCCTCGACGCCTCAGCCCCGAGTGCTTGGTGTCTTCCAGGCCAACGTGGGCGGAGAGCCTCAAAGACACCAAAGGCGTTGGGCTGGTCCCACCATTTACTACAGATCATTCATTCATTCTAGAGCTTTTCTAACCCGGCTAGCTCCCACATAATTGGGTCAGAGATCTGTTGAGTTATTTAAACAGCTTTAACACAGTAACGGGGCCGGCACGACTTATACTCATTTTCTAAGCTAGTCTGGCTCCTTCCCATGTTACCTGTCACTATTCGTCCTGTCTGGGCTGGATCTGCTGTCAAGCAACATTCTTTCTCTCCATGCCCCTGCTCCCCCTCCCCTGATCCCCACTGAGCCCACAAGCCCAGGGTCTGAAGCTCCGCCTACCTCTTCTGCCCAGAGGGCCCAGCTTCTCCTGTTTCTAACCCATCAGAGATAACTGGGAAGTGACTTTACATACTGTTCAGTGTAAGCAGTCATCAGGACTGCAACCTTGGGGCCCAGAGTCTAGATCTGAACACAGCGTACCAGACCAAGCCCCAACCTTGCACAGATCAGGAAAATGGGCGAGGGGATTTACCCCCGAGCAGAGGGACAGGGATGAGTGGGTGGAGGTGATCTGTGGACCTGTGGACCTGTGAGGCCTGGTGCCCTGCTTCCTGGCTGCTCCTCCAGGTCGGGGCGGACCCCATCCTGCCCATTGCTGTTATAGGTGGCCCCCCTGCCCTGCCTGCTGCCAAGCTTGTACGCCCCACCAAGTTGGGGGCTTGTGGCTTTCTTCACTGGGCATCCCGAGTCCCACAGATGGGGAGCAGGCACAGAATAACAGCTACCACGACAGTCACGTCACAGTCCTGGGAGTGTGAGCACACCCATGGGCTGCGGGAGAACAAGGCAGGAGGAACGGAGGGTCCTGGATCAGTGGTCATTAGACAGAGCAGCGGAGGGCTTGGACTCAGCTCAGCATGCGCTAAAGGCTTGGGTTCGATTCCTAGTCCTGTCACAAAAAAAGGATTAGCCCAGGTGGGGCTCATGTCAGCAGGGGCCTGTTGGTCTCAGGTCACGCAGGCTGTCCTCAAATCTGCCATGTAGCCAGAGATGCTGCCACAGCCCTCAGTGCTCCAGGGAAGCCCACGGAGCCGCCTGCTCCGACCCGCCGGGCGCCGCGAGGATGGGCATGTCCACCCACGTGGTGGGCCTCACACACAGGCAAGGGCTCGGCGACTAACGTGGGAAGAGGTAGCGGGCACTACTGCCCTGCACAGGGGACAGCGGGCACCCTAGATGCCGGAGGCGAGATGGGGCCGTGGAGCCGCAGGGAGGCCAGTCACAGCCCTTCCAGCCCAGGCACCCGCGCCAGGGCCGAGGATATGTGTGAGCTAAGCTGGGTGGTGCCCAGCCGCAGTGGCAGGACAGTGAGGTGCAGCTGGAACAGTGGGTCACTGACCCACTGACCGTGCACATAGCAACCGTCCAGGAAGTTATCCAAGAGCCAACCTGGCCACCCTGACCTCTGCCCTCCCTGGAAGGCCCTCTGGCCCCACCCCAGGATGAAGTTCAAGCCCTCAGCCTAGAGGTTACAGCTCCCCCAAGGCAGTGTTTGGACGGTTGTGGTTGTGACCCCAGCACTGAGGACCTAAAGTCGGCCTCCCTCCTGCCTGTGATCCCCGGCCTCCGCCTTTGCACACCGGGGTCCTCGTCCAGTACAGTTCATGGCCTCCTGAGTCTGCTCCGTGGGCCGTGCTCACTTTCCAGCTGGCCACCCTGAGCCCTCCCTGTGAGCAGCTTCCGGCCGCCCCATCACTGTGCTCCTAGTCGGCCTGCCCCTCCGCTTCCATCCCTGGCAGCGCGGCTCCTTCCTGGCTCCAGGATTTGGGCAACTGTTGAGCAGCCTTCCTCCTGCCCGCCCTGCCTCCCGAGTTATGTGTAAACGGTGCTGGGGAAGCCACGGTGATGCCAGGAAGGACCGGGAGGCTGGCACTGCGGTGGGCACCCGCGCCCCCGGCCCTCACCCATCTGCCAAGATGGCTCGGATCACGGCGGGGACAGCACTGAGCAGTTCCCCCGGCGCAGACACGGGCGGCTCAGAGGCCAGCAGGGCGCGGCACAGTCGGGGTCTCCCGAGAGAAGACTGCGTCAAACGAAGTCTCCTTTATTGAACTCCTCTGGCTGTGCCCTCAGGCCTGGGGCACCACCCCGTAGAGCTGGTGCGGCAGCAACTTCTGCTTCTCCGTGCAGCTGTAGATCCAGCGGGGCCGCACGAAGGCCAGCGAAGGGTTGCTCACGAGCGCCTGGGTTGCACGGGGAGGACGTCAGCGGCCGCCGGGGCAGGGTGGCTGGGGGCCCCCACCGCCCCCCACACTCACCTCCTCAAACCTGGGGTCCCACTCCTGCGCCGTGATGACAAACTGGACCCGATCGCTCATGTAGTCCTCCAGCTCCCTGAGGGCAGAGAGGGTGTGAGTGTGCCCGTCCTCCCCGCGCCTGGACTCTGCTCCAGCCCTGCTGTCCCTCAGCTCCTGCTCAGACCCCTCAAAGCATCTCTCAAGAGCAGCAGCTCTCCATGTGCGCTGTCCTCTCTGGACAGTCCTCCCTCCCTCTCTTCTGTGTCTGCCTGGCTGACCTCTGCCCCAAGGCTGCTCCTCCACACAGCCTGACACTGCATTGCTTCAGAGGGCGAGGAAGGGCAGCCTCCAGGACCACAAGTGCGGACTGGGCCCCACTGGCCTCTGCGGCCTGCGCCCTCCCTCCAGCCCAGGCCCTCCCGCCAGGCTGCCAGGCCTGCTGTGGCCCAGGCCCTCCTGCCAGCCTGCTGTGGCCCAGGCCCTCCCACCAGGCTGCCAGGCCTGCTGTGGCCTGTGCCCTCCCGCCAGCCGCCCACTGACCCGTTGAACGCTGTCACGTATCGGATGAGCCGCCTCCTCTCGTCCCCAGGAAAGTCACCGTACAGGAAGAAATGTTTGCCCTGGAAGAAGTCTGCGGGATGGGCAAGGCCGTGAGGACAGGGAGGTGGAGGCTCGCAGAGGGCAGCCCATGAGGAGGCTCGAGGGCACCTGAGAGCGGGCAGGGAGCACCTGTCCACGCCGCGGCTGGCAGGCCCAGAAACCTCACCAGAGGCTCCTTCCCATCTTCATGGCGCCTCACTCTCCCTCCGCTACCTGCAGCTCCAGGAGTGGCTCCCGGCCTCAGCCTGCTTCCCCCCTGCCCTCCCAGCCCTCCTTTCTCTGTCTGAAAAGGGGTTATTAGTCCAGGGGCCTTGAAGCTGGGACAGCAGGCAGGAGCCTCCACACTTGCTCTCCTACTCCCAGGAGGGGCACAGCCTGCACAGGCTCAGAGCAGGCGTGGAGGCTCACATGGAATCTGAAAGCTTGGGAGGCTGAGGCAGGAGAGCCGCAAGTGTGAGGAGTCTGGAACTCCGAGACCCTGCCTCAAAAAGACACCCTAAAGAAGCAAGCCGTGGAGGGCTGCGCACACAGCTGGCTTTACACTGCAAACGGTGAGAGCTAAACAGCATGCCCGCACTCAGGAGTCCAGGGGCAGCAGGCGTCAACAGAGCTGAGTGTGGGGCGTGGGGCGAGGAGGGCGCACTGGCCGGAAGGGGAGTGGAGAGCAGGAAGCTGTGAGCAGGGGCGAGGAGGGAGGCCCCAAAGGGAAGGACGGCAAGCAGGGCTCTGGGGGCATGGCAGGAGCAGATGGGGCAGGCCAGCAGAGCTTTGGGGGCATGCCAGGCAGCAGGGGGAACAGGCCCAGCAGGGCTCTAGGGGCATGAGCCCCAGGCAGCAAGTGGGGCAGGCCACAACCCCAGGCCACACCTCGGCAGAAGGCCCTAACCTGGGAGCTCTGGGATCGGCAGGTCTGCCTCGCTATCTGTGTTCTCGTCAGTGGAGCCTGCGTACGGGTCCTCGCCATTCTGGTCTGGTGCTGGAGGCGGCCTCTGCTCCCTCTGCTTGGCCACCCTGCACAGTCCAGTCCGGAGTTGTGAGGCGAGCAAGCCACACCCACCAAGGCCAGGCCGCACCGACTCTCCAAGCCTACCTCCTCAGCTCATCCTCAGTGTCCCCCGAGTCATCCGCCCCAGCGTCCTGTCCTTCTGCCAGAAGCAGCTCAGTCAACTGGCCTGTTTCCTGGGAAGTCTGGTAACCCCCTCCCAGAATGGCCCACCGGGCCTGTGAACTCCACCTCAGTTGCCCTCTCTGTCCAGTTTCCTGGATACACAGTGCCTCCTCCACTCCATTTATCTGGACACAGCCTTCCCCTCAGACCCAGAAATCCCAACTCAAGTCCTGACCCCAGGACCCAGGGGGCCAGGCCCAGCCTCCTCCCTTAGACCCAGGGGTCCAGGCCCAGCCTCCTCCCTCAGACCCAGGGGTCCAGGCCCGGCCTCCTCCCTCAGACCAGGGGTCCAGGCCCGGCCTCCTCCCTCAGACCCAGGGGTCCAGGCCCAGCCTCAGACCCTGGGACCCAGGACAGCCTCCTCCCTCAGACCCTGGGACCCAGGACAGCCTCCTCCCTCAGACCCTGGGACCCAGACCTCCCACTCACTCAGACTAACCTGACAGCTCTCCCCCAGTGTCACTGCTGTCCTGGGGTCCTGGTGAGGGTGCTTTGGTCTCTTCTGGGGTGCATGGCCTCTGAGGTGAGCTTGGTCCTGCTGCGTGGGTTTTGGCTTTGGCCTGGGGTCACCAAAAGGGGACCGAGTGAGGTGAGGGTGGAGGGAGGCTCTGGCCACGCGGGGGGGGGGGGGGGGGGGGGGGGGGGGGGGGGCGGGCAGAAGCGAATGACCCTGCTTAACTCCCAGAGCTCTCCTGAATAGGCAGGGGCGTCAGACCTTTCTAGTAAGCGTAGGAGCTCCTTCTTCAGCGCTGTCACTGTGAGCGTCCCCCTCGTCCTCACTGCTGGACCCAGGTCCTGCCATGAGGTACCTAGGGAGGAGCCGGGCCTCAGGCACAAAGTGAGACCTCTGTGGAGGTGCGCTGCGGCAGGAATCCTCCCCACCACCCGCTGTCACCTCCCACTGCCCGCTGCCCATCACCCAATGCCCACCACCTACCACCCACCGCCCGCCGCCCCCTTCCCGAGCTCCTCAGAGCTGGTTCCAACACTCTGAGCCCTCCCTGAAGAGCAAGGCCGTCGCACAGGGCAGTGGGGGGCTCCTCATTTCCGTCAAAGCGTCGCCCAGCATGGCCCGGAGCTCCCCACCTCCACCTCTGCACATTCCCGCAGCGCCCTTTCCCTTCTGCACAAAGCGGACGTCACAGGACCTGACCAGGCAGGTTGTGCCCGTGAGCAGGCCCTGCCTCTGTCTGCCCCAGCTGATGCTGGTTGGAGACCACCCGAGCATGCCTCACGGCCCCCGCCCTGGCTGCTCCGGGCCGAGAGGCTGGCGTGCGTGTGCCAGGCAGGCGTGAGGCCTCACCTCCGGCAGGGCAGGCGGCGGCGCATGCGGTGGCAGTCCAGTACCCACTCTTTCCGCACGATACGGCCTCCGAGACCCAGCACCTGGCTGTACTTGGGGGTGTTGGCAAAGGCACAGCTGGGGGACGCAAAATGGGTGTCAGAAGTGGTCTGATGGGCACACGGGGCGGGGTGGGGGAGAGACAGCCCGGGGTGCGGAGCTGGGGGAGGCAGAGGCCCAGGGCCAGGCGGGCGGCCTACATGAGGTGTGTGCTATCCGCGCTCCAGTCCGGCCGGTACTTGGCCCCCATCTCCAGGGCCTTGTCTCGGAGCTCGGAGCGGAAGGGGTTCTGGAAGCCACTCAGCACCAGCACCACGCCCTGCAGGACCTTGCCCAACTCCTGGGGGCCCCGAGCCGCCCTGGGCTCCGAGCCTCCGAGAGGCTTCCTGGGGACGGCCTTCTGTGCTGGGGTGGAGGCGGGGGCCGAGGCGGGGGCTCGGCCAGGAGCCATCACTGCGAAGCCAAGGACAGAAGCTCAGCTGTGGCCCCACAGTAGAGGCCCTGCACGCCCTCCCCAGCGGCAGAGCGGCCCCCGCATCAAGGAGGGCAGTGGCTTACACTTGGGCTTCCTGGCGGCGGGCGGCCCTGCCGAGGCTTTGCCGGGAGACGGCCTGTCTTCCAAACTCCTCTTCCGTTTGGGTGACTCCTGGGGCTGAGGGGCGAGGGTCAGCCTCGGCTCTCCTGGCTCCCCCAGCCCCGTGTCTGAGGGTCTCCTTACCTGGGGAGCGCTGCCCACACCCCTGGAGGCTGGAGAGGCTGAGGCCGCACTAGAGGCCTGCAGCGTGGCTGCTGCATAGCTGGGGCCTGCAGGGTCGCTGGCGGAGGCTGCGGATGAGGGGGCAGGCCACAGGCACCTCAGCTCCTGCCTGCGGCTACCATGTCCCCACACCCACAAGTGACCTGGAGGGGGTCTAACGACCCAGGGGGGTCCAGACCGTCCTCCTGACTCAGCAGTCTAGGCCTCCCCCCCCCCAGTTTCCTCCTCCTTCCCAACAGCCTCCTTCCCAGACCAAGCGCCCTAGCCACAGCCCTCAGCACTCAGGCTAGCTTTTGTTGAGACCAGCCAGGTGACACAGCTGATGTCCGGTCCCCCTGCCTCGGGCTCCCGAGCTGAGATGTCGGGCGAGCTGGGCCCCACTCTAAGCCCGCGCTCTGCTGCCCCAGCCCCGGCACTGGGCCTCCTGTGCCCACCTAGAGACAGCTTGCTGGAACGACTGAAGAAGAGCGCGCCCGGCTTCAGGGAGGTGGCGCTGTCATCCTCGTCCTTCACACGGAACTGGCCGAGCTTGGTCACTGTCCCCTTCTGAGGTCGCAGAGGTCAGTGCTGTGGGAAGGGTGCTGGCAGGTGGGGGAAGGGGCAGGGAGAAGGCTGGGGGTGGCAGGGGCAGCTCACCTGGGATGGGGCCTCCACCTCATCTTTGTCTGGAGGGCTGTGAAACCTCACAAAACTCAGGCCGTAGGGCGAGTCCTGGAACAGAGGCGGGTGGAGCTGGGTCCATGCGCCTTCACTCGGGGAGCCCTTTCTGGCTCAGCCGAGGCTGGTGCTGTGCGGATGACTGAGCCAAAACTGTGGCCTGCACCCTGCACGCCCTCCATGCCCCACTGTAGATGGCAATCAGCAGGGGCGGGCACCCACTTCCGTGGGCCCAGTCTCTCTGCCGGAGCCACTCCTGGAGGGCAGCCACTGCTCTGTTGTGGAGGAGCCTCAGTTTACCCAGCTGCCCCCCAGACTCCACAGACCAGGCTACCCGCCAGGCACAGGAGACTCTCGCCCCAGGGCGGCGTCCCCGCCCAGCCCCTGGCTCAGTGGCCCCCTGGCCCCAATGTCTCGGCTTCCATGTGACGTACCTTGCTGTACGGCTGGCTGCACACAATTTTAACACGGTCCCAGCGCTTCTCCGCCGCTGCGCGGACTAACTTGTCAGGGCCAAAAATACGAACACGGTTGGGATTGGAGCCACTTCGGCTCTCGGAGGGGGACATGAACGAGGAGGTGACCAGAAGGACCTAGGTAGAAGGCCAGGGCTAGATGACCTTCCAAGGCTGGGGAGGTCAGCAGTCCTGCCCTCGGTTATTTGTGGTGGGTGGGGGGCCGTGTGCCAGCGAGGCCAGCGGGGGAGGGAGGCCAGCCGGACCTCCTCCACTGCTCTCCGCGTACCCCTGACCTGTAACAGCGCAATGTCCGTCACGCCTACTTTGTTCTGGAACAATTCTTACATGTATGTGACGTACTTTGATCGTACTCACCCCCACCTTCGTTGACCCGCTCCCATTCCCTCTGGACCCCTTTTTCTCCCCAACAAATCCTCCTGGTTCCCTGTCTTTGCTATGCCTGCTCAGTTCAGCAGGTCTGTGTCCACGATGTGGGGCTACCCACCAGACACACTTCCCAGGAGTGGGCCACGGGGCCGTAAGTCCAGACAAATGTCTGCGTGGTCTAAGGAACTGTCCCAGCGGGAGCTGCAGCCACAGGTGCAGTATTCAAACGCCCTCTGAAAGGCCCGGCTGGGACAGCTCCAAGCCGGAGAATTCCAGGATGCCAACAACGAGAGATCCAAACCCGAAAGGAGCCTCACAGTCAGCTGTGAGGCTGTGCTGCCGGGCTCATACCCAGGAAGGGTGGCGGCGGCCTGGCGCACATCTGCCAGCAGGGGGCGCCAGAGGGCTGGCCTTGTCCGCCTGCAGATCCTGGGCACAGCGCCAGCTGCTCTGCAGCGGATGAGCCCAGGGTGCAGCACCCCACGCTGACCCCCTCCTGGGACAGCAGCAGCAGAACGAGCTGGGCTCACCCGCTCTCCCGCAGTGGCCTCTCCACACCGTGGCAGGTACGTCCACTCCTCACCCCGGCGCGGAGAGCTGCCCCGCCTTCCATTCGTCAGACCCCACGTCCATTCTTACATACACCGGGCACGGTCTCTGGTAGGTCATGCAGGGCCGCCACAAAAGGTGGCCCAGGACTTGACTTCAGAAGCCCCTTGGGGTGGTACTGGGAGAAAGCAGGAGGCGTGCTCCCCTAAGGAAGGCCCAAGACCCTTAGCACCTGGCAAAAAGCGGGGGCAGCAGAGGGAGGTCAGGGGAGTGTGTCCCCGGGAGGCTGCACACCACAGGGTGTCACAGGAGCAGGGCAGCAGACACAGGAGCCTGAGGCCCCTCCCAGGGAGCCCGAGAGTTGTTCTCTGACCTCCACACATCACCAACAACAAACAGGTAAACGTCATTTATAACCGGGACTCTCTAGTTGTCTAAAACCCAAAGCCACTATTCCGGTGTCTCCATGAACGTGAGACCGGGCCGCGCCCCCTGGGGCAGCTCTTGCACACGGCCGCACAGAGCGCGAGGGCCCTGGGCAGCGGGCCCCCTGGCGAGGGCCCTGGGCAGCGGGGCCCCCTGGCGAGGCCCTGACTCACACACTTCCATGCAGGTGTGCTGGGTCACAACTGCAGTCTCAGCACTGGCTGCCCAGCGGGGACCTGCCCCGGCAGCAGTACCACGGGGAGGAAATAAACGGTAAGCACACACCTGTGAGGACACAGCTGCCATGACACGGGCCCAGAACCCAGAGTGCAAACTCTGACTGGGGAAGTTCGCACTCAGTCAAACCGTCAAACGAGCGCCCGGTGTGCTGAGGAGCCCAGGAGAGTAAGCGGCAGATGAAGGGACAACTGACCATCAGAACTGACCAACGAGAGCAGTGCCCCGGCTCGGAGCTCACGACTGCCCCAAGCGAGCCCCGCCCCTTCGACAGCTGGACCACGTCTAACCCTGGCCAGTCAGATAGAACACAAGGGCTGCTGGGCGGGCGTGCTGGGAAAGGCTTCTCCTTCCCTCTTAGAGGTGAGAGCCAGGCGGGCGTGGTGGGGGTGCAGGCTTGTAGGTCTAGTGTTCAGGAGGCGAGATCACAAGTTCAGGAACAGCCTGAGCTACATAGAGAGCTGCGCTCCAAAAGAGGGAGCTGGAGGGAGGATGTAGCTCCGTTGTTCGGTCCCTTGCACAAAAGCTGGACACTGTGCCAGACACTCGTAATCCCAGTGCTCAGGAGGTGGAGGCAGGAGGATCATGCATGGCCAGGCTGAGCTGAAGTCAGCGAAGGTGGGCTGGGAGCCAGGCGTGAGCCCTGCATGTCAGGAGGGTCCCCGTTCCTAAGACCAGGCTTAGGACACAACACGGTAAGCTGTGGACAAGCCTGGACAATCACAGTCTGAGGATGCAGGGTCGGGGAGCTGAATCAAGCCACTTCCCAGACTTGTGTTTCCTGCTGCTTCAGAAGCTCCTGATGGCAGCAGAGCCACACCAACCATTTCTGACCACCAGCCAACCCGTGTCACTCAGGCGCCCCCCAGACACCCAAGCTGTCAGGCCAGTGCCGGCTCTGTCGAGGCCAGCCTTTCCTCTCGAGCAGAGGAAGCTTTCGCTTCCTGAGGCTGTGAGCACAGTTCACGTGTTTATTCCGTGCATCTCCTTTATAACTGACTGTAAAATGTAGAAAACGAAAACAAAAGCTTTTCACTGAGGAAAAAAGCAGAAGGTAACAACACACCTCTGGGTCGCAGCTCTGACTGTGAAAAACAAACAACAAAGGCACACAGAATAGAAGTCACTCAGTTCTGCTTGTTACAACAAGCCAGATTCTCATGGGGAGTGGGTGCGTGCATGTGTGTGTGCGCGTGCGTGCAGGGAAATGCAACCGACAGCTTGGGGGTTCTAGCAACACTAAGTGGCAAGGCCCCAAACGCCTTGTCTTATTTACCGTAAAGAGAATACCACTCCAGTTGCTACACTGCCTTTAAAGTTCACCTTTGCTCTCTCCTCTGGGTTACCTCCAACTCTGTACAACTCTACACAACTCTAACTCTATACAACTCTAACTCTATAAAACTCTCTCTTTTATACACTATTTCTTATACTAGAGATGAAGACTGGACCTTCACACACACCTAGACAAGGCTAGAGGTGCTCTGCCACCAAGCCACACCCCAGCCCCTCACTGGGGGATTCTAGGCAGGGGCTCTGCCACCAAGCCACACCCCAGCCCCTCACTGGAAGATTCTAGGCAGGGGCTCTAC